GTCTTCCGTTTTGACTTGTAAGCACCTTTCCTTTATGTTCCTCAAATTAAGTTTGAACATCCGATTTTTCGCCATCTCCACGTGTGTGAGCAACCGTCCATCTTTGTCTTTTAAGTACAACATTTGATCTTTCATGAAAAGCATATATCCTTTCTCCAATAGTTGTCCTATGCTAAGGATATTGCTTTTCAAGTCAGGCACATAATAAACATTGTCAATCGTACCTTTTCTTCCATCATTTTGGAAAAAAGAAATTTTTCCGCGTCCTTTGACTTGAACCTTTGATGCATCTCCAAAAGACACATTTTTTATTGGAGATATTATGAGATTGTAATCTTTGTGTTTTAGGAATACTTCCTAATCTCTAGGATCTGATTGTTACGTAGGTTTCTATCACTTGTATTATATATACTTGTAATATGATTAACCAAAATAATAAGAAAGTCAAATACCTTACATGGTATCAGAGTAAAATAGTCTCACGACACTAAAACCCTAGCCGCCGACTTTTTTTTTCTCATCACCGACGACGTGCACTCCTTGCCGTCAACCCCACAACCTGTTATCATGGCCAACACCAACAGCTCCTCGGAATCCGCTGCCACATACAATGTCCAAGAGCCGACTGGTTCTCTCCTTACCGTCAATATGTCCAACGTTACAAAGCTGATCTCCTCCAATTATTTCACGTGGAGCATCCAAATTCGGTCTCTCCTCGAAGGTCACAAACTCGATTGTTTCCTCCTTGAAGGCTCTTCTGTTCCTCTGGCCAAAATCTCTGTCGATGGTGTTCTTGTCGACAATCCCGCGTTCGCTGATTTTAAACAGCAAGATCGCCTTTTGTTTAGTGCCTTGCTCGGCACAATCTCACTTCCGCTCCAGCCTCTTGTCGCTCGTGCAGCCTCGGTTCGTGATGCATGGGCTACTCTTGCCAACACCTACGGCAAGGCTTCGCGTGGTCATCTTCTGCAACTACGCGATCAAATCCGAAGAAGCATGAAAGGTACGCAATCAGTGGATGATTACATCCGCTCCATTGTCACCAAAGCCGATGAACTAGCGATTCTCGGCAAACAGATGGATCATGAGGATTTGCTCGATGCTATCCTCAATGGTCTTCCCGAAGAGTTCAAACCGGTGGCTGATATTGTTCAGGCCAGGGACGCGCGATTTCGGTTGAGGAGTTGCATGAAAAGCTTCTCAACCATGAAGCTAAACTAGCTTCGGCATCTGCTCTACCCTCGGCATCTCTCCCCATCACGGCGAATGCCTCTGCTCGTGGTCGTCCATCGTTTCGAGGACATAGCTCTCATCGGGGATCCTCTTGGAACAAACCATCCAAGGGATATCAAGGGCGTTGTCAAGCTTGTGGAGTCTTCGGTCACAGCGCTCAACGTTGTGCTCAATTTCGCCTTGTTTCACTTCCGGAATCTCACGGAGGTCCGCCGCCTGCAGCTTCTCCTTGGCATCCCTCACCTCGGCCTTGGCAGCCACGTGCCCATCATACCGTCGTGCCGTCGTATGATGCCTCTCAATGGCTCCTAGACAGCGGTGCATCTCATCATATTACGTCGGATTTCAACAATCTTGCCATTCACTCTCCGTATCATGGTGGTGATGATGTTGTGCTCGGTGATGGCTCTGGTCAACCGATCTCACACACGGGTTCCTTCTTGATTCCCCTCGCTGCTCGTCCCTTATCTTTTGACAATGTTCTTTGTGTTCCGACAATGCAAAAGAACTTGGTCTCGGTTTCTCAATTATGCAAGTCTAATGGTGTTTCGGTTGAATTCTTTCCTCATGGTTTTCAGGTGAAGGATCTAAGCACGGGGGCGTCGATGCTCAGCGGAAAGGCTAAGGATGGCGTTTATGAATGGCCGGTTATCTCTTCTTCAGCGTCTCCTCTTGTTTTGTCGAGTCAGAAGTCCACTTTGTCCGAGTGGCATTTTCGTTTGGGTCACCCTGCACTTCCTGTTCTTCAAAGAGTCGTGTCTACATTTAATTTACCATTGTCTCGAGATTCTTCTCCTTTGTTTTGTGATTCTTGCTCTCGCAATAAAAGTCATAAACTTCCGTTTTCTACATCCACTGTTTCATCTTCTCGTCCTCTTGAATTACTATTTTCTGATGTTTGGACTTCACCGATCGTCTCTATGGATGGTTACAAATATTATGTGTTATTTGTTGACCATTTCACGCGTTATTCTTGGATATACCCTCTTAAATTCAAATCTCAAGTTCGTGATACATTTGTCCAATTCAAAAACATCGTTGAAAACAAATTTTCGACCAAAATTGTTTCTCTTTATTCTGACAATGGTGGGGAGTTTATTGCCTTACGACCTTTTCTTGCCTCTCACGGCATCTCTCATTACACTACACCACCACACACTGCCGAGCACAATGGTATCTCTGAACGTAAACACAGACATATTGTTGAAACAGGTCTTTCACTTCTTCATCACGCGTCTCTCCCTTTGTCGTTTTGGTCTTTTGCTTTCACCGCGGCCACCTATCTTATTAATAGGTTACCAACCCCGACCTTAACCATGTCTTCTCCTTTTTCCTCTCTCTTTGGTCAGTCCCCTCATTACGAAAAACTTCGTACCTTTGGTTGTCTTTGTTACCCATGGCTTCGGCCGTATTCCACGCATAAGCTCGACCCTAAGTCTACTCCTTGTATTTTCCTTGGGTACTCGTCTTCTCAGAGCGCTTTCTTATGCTTTGATTTTACTAGCTCTCGGCTTTTTGTGTCCCGTCATGTCATCTTCCATGAGTCGGTTTTTCCTTTTCGTACCACCTCTCAGTCCCTTCCTGGACAAGTCATATCCTCGTCTTCTCCAGGTGAGTCGCCTTCGTCGGACTGTTCTGGTTCTCAGGTCACTCCGGCCCGTTCCTTTATCCTGCTGACCATTCCGCCTCCTTCGACATCGCCCCTGAGCATACATCCTTCACCTACGACCGAATGCCCTGACTTGCCGAGCTCGGAGTCTTCGCCTTCGCCCGAGAGTGCTAACGCGAACAACTCACCGGTTGTTTCTCCGCTGCAAAACAGACATCCGATGGTGACTAGAGGAAAGAACAATATTTCTAAACCCGTGACTAAGCTTACACTTGCTGCTTCTATTTCAGATTCTCACAACGAACCGACTTCGGTGTCCCAGGCACTTAAGGACCCTCGATGGCGTCTAGTGATGAGTGATGAATTCAATGCTCTGGTTCGCAACTGCACTTGGGATCTCGTGCCTTCAACGCCTCGGATGAATATTGTTGGGTGCAAATGGGTCTTTCGTGTTAAGACTAATCCGGATGGCTCTCTTGATCGCTACAAGGCCCAACTAGTAGCAAAGGGGTTTCATCAACGCCCCGGTATTGATTTCCATGAGATTTTCAGTCCGGTTGTCAAACCTCCGACGATTCGCCTTGTTCTTAGTCTTGCAGTTACGCATGGTTGGAGTATCCGACAACTTGATGTTAATAATGCCTTCCTCCAAGGCAGCCTTTCTGATGAGGTTTTCATGTCTCAACCACCCGGGTTCATTGATAAAGATCGTCCGGAATTTGTCTGCAAGCTTCGTAAAGCTATCTATGGCCTTAAGCAGGCCCCTCGAGCTTGGTACTCGGAGCTCCGGAATTTTCTCCTCGGTCAAGGCTTTACAAACTCAATGGCCGACGCCTCGTTGTTCATACTTCGGGGTAACGACTTTCAGTTATTCGTGCTTGTTTATGTTGACGATCTGATTGTTACAGGGAGTTGTTCTTCCCGCATTCAAGCCTTTATCTCGCATCTCGCTGCTCAGTTCTCATTGAAAGATCTTGGTGATCTTTCATTCTTTCTTGGCATCGAAGCACATCGGTCATCCAAGGGTCTTTTTATCAGCCAGAGGAAATATATCTCGGATTTATTGAAGCGCACTATGATGCTAGATGCCAAACCTGTCTCAACTCCTATGGCTTCGACTGCTCGCCTTACGCTTGGCTCGGGTACGGTACTCTCGGATCCCTCAGAATTTCGCACGGTAATCGGGAGCTTACAATACCTGTCACTTACTCGCCCGGACATAAGCTTTGCAGTGAACAAGCTGTCCCAATTCATGCATGCCCCGACTGATGTGCACTGGATTGCGGCAAAACGTGTTCTCCGCTACCTGGCAGGGACTCGGACTTCGGGCATATTTCTTTCGGCCATCAACTCACCCTCTCTTCATGCCTTTAGTGATGCAGATTGGGCTGGTGATCCGGGAGATTTCAAGTCCACTGGTGCGTTTGTTGTCTATTTTGGCAAACATCCTATCTCTTGGTCATCGAAGAAGCTTTCAGGCCATTCACGTTCATCCACCGAAGCTGAGTACCGATCTGTTGCTAATACTTCGGATGAGATTAGCTGGTTTGTCTCTCTCCTATCGGAACTTGGCGTCACCTTAAGTTCAACCCCGACGATCTATTGTGATAACATTGGTGCTACTTACCTTAGTGCCAATCCCGTTTTCCACTCTCGAATGAAACATTTGGCGCTGGACTTCTTGTTTGTTCGTGGACAGGTCGAAGCCGGCTCCCTTCGTGTTCTGCATGTTAGTTCGAAGGATCAGCTTGCCGATGCCTTGACCAAACCGCTACCTCGGTCCTCATTTCACGATCTTTGTGTCAAGATTGGAGTCACCTCCGGTGTTCCAACTTGAGGGGGCGTATTGGAAATATTATGAGATTGTAATCTTTGTGTTTTAGGAATACTTCCTAATCTCTAGGATCTGATTGTTACGTAGGTTTCTATCACTTGTATTATATATACTTGTAATATGATTAACCAAAATAATAAGAAAGTCAATGCCTTACATTTTTATCTTCTATGTCGTGCATATCAACAAAGAGATGTTTGTGTCCACACATATGGTTACTAGCACTGGTGTCGAGATACCACATCGAATCGTTGTTTTGATTGATTCCTTCGTGGGCCATCAAAACAATATCAACCTCTTTTGTCTCATCTTCTGCGACAAGATTCACATTTTCTTCCACCTTCTTCTTGAAGTAACAATCTTTTTCATAGTGTCCATATTTTCCGCAGTTGTAACACTCATTTGGTCGACCTGATCGTCCATATCTTCCACGACCGCGTCCTCATCCACGCCAATTCTGTTGGTTCGCTTGTCCTCTCTCTTCATTGTAGTTTCCATGACTACGTCTTCCAATACGACCAAAAACCTCGACCACCACGGCTTCGTCCTCTTCCTCGATTGTGTTGTGAGTGTATCACCTTGTCATCATTGATACTCATCTTTGTTTGCAAGGCCTCCTCCATGACATCTTGCTTCTTTTTCTTCTTCCGTTGTTCATGAGCTTCAAGAGAGCCCGTGAGTTCGTCGATCGTTATTTTCGCCAAATCTTTTGATTCTTCAATTGCACATACAACATTCTCAAAATCATCGGTCAATGACCGAAGGATTTTTTCGACAACTCTTGCATCATCGAGAGTTTCTCCGTTGTGTTTAAGTTGATTCACCACCGTTTGCACACGAGATATATAACTCGATACATCTTCCGACTCCTTCATTTTCATGGCCTCCAATTCACCTCGTAGAGTTTGAAGACGAACTTGTTTAACTCGGTCAGCACCTTTGAATACTTTTTGTAGAGTTTCCCATGCTTCTTTCGATGTCGTTGCGCCAGCAATTTTCTCAAAACTTGCCTCATCTACAGCTTGGAACATAAGGTAGAGAGCAGTCTTGTCCTTCATTCGCATTTCTTTCAACGTTTTCAGTTGTGCCGGTGTGGATGTACCGGAACTTTCTTCAATATAGCCATTTTCGACTACTTCCCATGCGTCTTGTGCACCGAGTAAGGCACGCATTTGAATACTCCAATTGTTGTAATTCGTTTTGTTGAGTCGTGGTAACGGTGTGAAACCCAACGATGTGCTCCCATGGTTCGACATGGCTCTGATACCAATTTGTTATAAGTTGAGAATTTTTCTTATGGAAGAGAAGAGGAAGAACAAAATGAATATGACATTTAGATGTATTTTACTTTGTTAAACTTCACTCTTATTTCAACAAAGTACTTACCATACATATTTATAGTTTCAGTTAGACTTTCACCTTTCGTAAGTTAAACATAATCATAAAGAAGAATGACAATAACTTAAAAACAATAAATATAAATTTTAATATGTAGTAACTTATGACCACTTGTCATTAAATCTTCCATAACTTTTGATAGCTAACTCCAAATGGCAGAATCTAGACGTCCGGGGCATCAAAATCCATAGGTCATACGTTAAATTTGGTTAACATTCGATCCCTTAAATGCCACTCGAAAACTGTCCCATAATCTGTCAGTTTATTTGAGTTTAGTGCTCACAATCTCTCTCGCTATTCAAAAAGGGACAAAAGAAAAATAGTGTGTTCATAAAATCACTCGTGGGTTTTAGGTTCAACCATTTTTTATCTCTCTCCCTGCATATCATATTAGTGTATATGTAAGCCATAATATCCCTTTTGCATTGTAGTCCAGTTGATACAATATCGTTGCCTTTGATTTTTTTTTTCTTCCCATTTCAGGAACCTTCTTCATCATCAAAGAGATTCAAAGAAATGGTTCAAATTGAGAATTCGGTAAGTTGTAGTCCATCGCTGGTCAATTTGGAATCATGTTGTTGTTTGTTAGGTCTAAATATTTCCTTTTGGAGAAAAAATGATGGAACTTTTAAGCTGTTAGTTGCAAGGAAGACATGGATTAACTTCGCTTTCACAGAGCCCTCCGCAAAAGCATGTTAGGATAAATAATTGTGTGGCTTCATTTGTTTGTCTTTTCCTTAAAGAGTTTGCTGGTGCTTCCGAAGGAAACCCTTGAAAATCTGGTTCGATAGTTGGTCTCCGTTTTGCAGATGGAAATATCTTCTTTTTACGAGAAGGGATCTGGAGTTGCTTTTCAATGGTAAGAAGATTGCTATTGAAATAGGGTTTAAACCCGTGCGTCTCTAAGGTGAATCCATGCTCATCTGTATTATACAGGTGAAATGGTTGATGTGGACGCCATTGTTGTTTCTTCGACGAGAGAGGAAGACTTGATGGTGCCACATCGGACTTAAAAATATTTTACTTGTATTTTTTATTAGATTATATTTTATAGTTTTTATTAGACGATAAGAGTTGATCATATCAGCTTTGATACGCACTATCACTACTTTCAGAATGTATTTTTATCTTTCTGTTTCTTCACCTTCCTATTTTTCCTCCGTTTTCGGTTATGTTCAAATGTATATATGCACCGCTGTACATAAATGGAATACACAGAAAATTCTTCTCTCATTTTATATTCAGATCTTAATATGGTATCAGAGTGAATCCCGTTGCGTTCTTCTGCATATCAATTTTGATTTTTTTTTCTGGTCTTCTCTTTTTTGCCCTCTGTTTTTTCGGTTCTTCCATGGCAGACGAAATTGCCGAACCTCTGCTCCTCTGATTCCGCACCAACTTCACCATCAGCCTCTTGATCCATACTCTAATCCACTTTTCCTCCATGCTGCGGATACATCAAGCATTTCTCTTGTTCCCGAGAAGCTCCTTGGTGAATCCTGTTGGGTTCCCTTCGGGTTCCTAGCATGCGATCTCATCGATCTAGGGTTTGGGTTTTAGGTTTCACGCAGCGGAAGAAAAAGATCTAAACCTAGCCAAACGTCACACAAAACCAATTGTGCAATAACCCGAACAGTCGTGTATATCATCGTGGGATTCGAATACTTACCTCGTTCTTTCAAGATCTGGAAGTATCAATCGATTCAGAGTCTGTTTTAATCACAGAGAGTTGAAAGTACAACTCCTCTACACGTATCCACACCGACAGGATGAATTCCAACAGTTTGGAACGTATCTGCTAGGATTTGTGAAGAGAAAACGATGTCCTTGACTTGGAATCGATATTCCAATCTCTAGAACTCAAAATCAAGCTTCTCAAAGCTCTAATGAGTGTCTTGGACGTCTGAGGTTAATTCTCTAGGGTTTGTGGCGGCTCTCTCATTAATTAGGATTGCCCAAAACCCTTAAAACGCGAAATAGGAAATCTGCCCGAAAGTCGGACCGTCTGGACTAGGTCTGGACCGGACGGTCTGACATTCCACGCGGA